ATTTAACACACGTTTTTTTATCTGTTATAATGATTATAAGCTGTACATATATATTTATAATTGTATTGTACTATATTAACTATGTTACTGGTTCTATATCTATGTATATGGATTTATGGAATATACAATAAATGAATGAATGATCTAATAACTAGAGAGCTTCTCTATGTAAAACATCTAGCAAGGGAAAGTGTATTTGAAATTTCAGCTATTGAGGTAGTGGATTTGGAAATCATAGTTGTTTGTATATATAGATCCCCAAATAGAGCAAGGAAATTTTCCTTGAATTATTAGAGGAAACCCTAAACAAGGTTAAAATAAAGGGACGTCTCTTAGTGTTATGTGGGGATTGGAACATAAATTTATTAGAGGATAATACCTATCAGAAGGCTTTACAAAACGTACTGTTATTAAATAATCTACACAACTTGGTTTTATGTCCAACCCGTGTTACTTCAAATACTTGTTCCTTGCTGGATGTTATGATCAGAAATAAAAATTTTTACCATTCAACTACAAGGGTTATAGAAATGGGGTTTTCTGATCATTTTGCATTGGTTATGAGTATACTTGTTCACAGCCCTTCTACCCGTTGAAAATATGTGGTAAAAAAGGACTTTTTCAAGAAGAAATGTTGCAAATTTTAAGGATCAACTAAAAATCGAATTATGGGATGAGGTCTATCTTCAATCTGATGTAAATAGTACCTATTGTGTCTTCTTAAGTAAGTTTCTTAAGTATTTTTTGCACTTCTTCCCCTTAAAAAGGGTTTTTAACAAGAAAGGGAAAAAATCAATTTGGATCAAACAAGGGATAAAGGTGTCTAGACAGAGGCTGCAACTTTTACGTTTGTTAAAAAGAAAGATGTCCCTGTCAGTTCACACTTTGAAGTATATAAAGAAATATCAGAGAATTTATAAAAAAGTAATTTCTATTGCCCGTCAAAGAGAAAATGACCGAATTATTAAAAGGTAAGTAAAAAATTCAAAAACTCTACAGCAAATAATAAAAAAGGAGTCAGAAAATAATTTTACAGATAGAAAATATTTCTTTAGAAATAGACTCTAAGTCAGTTACAAACCCACAGGATGTATCCCAAAAATTTAATGAATTGTTTGTAAATAGCACAGACAAGCTGATATATTTAAATAAAAATTGTATAATTGACCATGCCATTACAAATGATGCAATACAAAATCCAAATGTATTATTTCTTGCCCCTGTTACCGAAGAAGGGGTTCTTCAGGTTACTAGTAAATTAGAAACGAAAATTTCAGCAGGTTATGATGAGATTCCGGATATGATAGTTAAACAATGTATCCAAACCATAAAAAAGCCTTTGACTTTTATATTTAATCTGTCACTAAGTTCTGGCATTTTTCCAAATCAAATGAAGATTGTAAAAGTTTAACCTATTTTTAAGAAAGGTCAGAAACAAAATATTGCAAATTATAGACCAATCTCAATTCTGTCTGTTTTTTTCAAAAATTCTTGAAACATTGATGTACAGTAGGGTTGTAAATTTCTTAAATAGATTCAATCTGATATCAAATGCTCAAAATTGTTTTAGAAAAAATAAATCCACGTTTATGGCAATTCAAACTTTTATTGGAGAAATTCAGAAAACACTAGATAACAAACAGCTGGCCTTTGGTATATTTCTGGATTTATCAAAGGCTTTTGATGTTATTAATCATAACTTGCAGCTTGCAAAGTTGGAACCCTGTGGACTGAGAGGAATATCTCATGCATGGATGAGATTTTATCTTACAGATAGATCACAGTTTGTTGAAATTCACTATATGGATCAAAAGATCTCATCCCTTAAAGCAATTAAATATGGTGTACCTCAAGGTTCTGTTTTGGGACCCCTTTTATTCCTATTATTTATAAATGATCTGCCCCAAGTTATACATAATGCAGAGGTAGTACTATTTGCTGATGATACAAATATATTGATTACTGGAAAAAATATTTTATCATTAAATGAAAAAATTCAAAATGTTAAGACTCGATTAGAAAAATGGTTTTATGAAAATCGTCTAATAATAAACATGGATAAGTCAAAGGTATTATTTTTTGGGGGGAAGTAGATCTATTCCAAGTAACAGACCCTTTTTTTT